ACAAATTGAACATATATATAATTTTTTTTTATAAAACATTCTTAATTGATATATAAATGCAATCAAGATTTTAACATAAGTTGTTGTAGGTCTAGTGGATCATAAGCTCATTTTGGAACCTTAACAACCCAGGTTCGAATCCCCTTGGCTTCATTTTTCCATCTTTTTTTAGATATGCCACGTAATTATACAACTCAGCAAAAAAAAAAAAAAAAAAGTAAAAATTCCACGTAGGCTAGCCGGTAAAGGTTACCTGCGATAGCAGGTGATAGGACTATTTCTCACGATTTTTGCCACTTACGGGACGTGATCCAAAAGTGGGCATCGGAGAGGACCAAACCTCAAATAGGTGCCAGTTACAGGACGAATTCTCTAATTTTTCCTTAATAAAAAACACATAATTACAATCAACTCACTAGCCGGAATGGGAGGACTACCCAAGACAGCCTAGATACCACAACGCACACTACAAAACGAACAAGAAAAAATAAGAACTTCCCACAGGAAAATACAAAACTCCCTAAAGGAGAATAACACAACTTCCCACAAGAGAATAACACAACTCCCCAGATGAGAAAACAAGCTCCTCCAAAAAAGGAGATATCAAAACACAATTCACAAAACAACACACCAACAAACAATACAATAACACAAAACACCAAACTACACATCACATCCAACAACACAAAATACTGCCCTTCCCACGGCTGGACTACGCACCAAGCAGGCCATAACAGCGACACCTCCGGCCGACCACCAAATTGGACCGGACCAAAGTCTAGATTTCGAACTTGGAAAACTGCAACTCACGCCTAATACAAATCGGAAACCCGAACCCCAATCCTGCACCCGACAATTGACCCCGACCCTTTAGAAGGACAACAACAAATCCCAAAACACTCCCCCACCGCTCCAAGCCCGACCAACACCACGGCTCAAGCTCGGCACGCCGGCCGTCCTCTCCTCACAAGCACCATAGGAGAAGAAGACTAAGGGGAAAAGCCCCCACACCCTGTCGACACCAACATCACGCTGCCGACACCACCACCCAACCCCACAGCAGCCTGCCACTCCTCGACCAAGGAATTCGACGACCAACTCCCCGAGAAGGCAGCCATGGATTCGCAAGATCCTTTCGGTCACGGTCAATCGAGCTCCACCGACCGAGAAACCGGGTTTTAACATAAATAGGGGTCGAATCGTGAGGCCTGGGGGCCGTCCTCCGTCATGGTGCCCGGTGGATCCGTCGGGGAAGACGGATCTGAAAGAAATTTTCGGCACGAGAGAGAGGGTTTTTTTTGCTACAGTTAAAAGAGAGAGAGAGAAAAAGAGAGAGGGTCTGAACCACGTAGGATTAGCTGAATTCACTTGCAATGTTTAACCAAAAAAAAAAAAAAAAGCAATGTGCTTTTCATAGCCGAATTAAAAAATTGTGCTTATCAGATTCTGTAGTATATTTAGATTAGTCCCGCTCACCTGTCCACGATGGGCAGTGCCCACCATTTTTTTTATATGAAAAACGTATTTTGAAAATACGTTTTTAAATTAATTTAATTGAAAAACGTATTTTCAAAATACGTTTTTCGTATAAAACAAAGTGGTGGGCACTGCCCACCGTGGGCAGGAGATCAAAATTTATATTTAGATTACTTAATTAACTAACTAATACTCGAATATATAACTGTATAATAAGATTATAAGGAAATTAATATTTCCAAACTTATTTGTAATAAAAATTGGTAGGCGTATTTTATTATTTTCGGAAGGGTTTCAATTTTTCGAACCACCACCAGATTTACTCTGGACCAATTCGAAATTGTAATGGCCAAATTTCCATCCTCAGTCTTCCGTCAGCCGCCGGCCGAAGTTGAAGCACATGGCATTGCAGAGGGCGTTTGTGCCCACAAAAATCTCCTAATTTCCATTCCCGATGATGTGCTCCTCAAGATCCTGTTGAACCTCTCTGCTCAAGACATTTACAGGGCAAGTCTCGTCTGCCGGAGGTTGTACTACCTCACGATCCGATCCGAGGATTTCGTAAACCTCCACCTCCAGCAGCAAACTGACGAATACGGCCTCTTCTTCCAATACGGCCCAACAAGTATTTATGATTATTCCTATCCTCGCTCGGTTTTCGTGTCTATGAAACAGGGTCATGTCACGGTATCCGACCACTACGCTTACAAATCCAGATTGATCTTACAGACTAGCTGCAACGGCCTCATCCTTGATTACAAGTTTTGGAAACCCTTTGAGTGCATGTTTTGGAAACCCTTCCAACTCCACTTGGCCAACCCTGTGACGGGACGGGCCTTCCGACTCCCTCCGCTTCCCAAAGGTGGATATTTTACGCATTGTTGCATGGGGTACGCGAAGGCCTCAAAGGCGTACAAGGTGGTCTTAGCATACCGTATTGATTGGGAAAGTGACGCGTGCTTGGCCATATTGACCGTGGGTGTCGACAAGTCATGGAGGCATCTTGATCTTGCGACCGACCAATATTTGACGGAGTATACACTTAGCCGCCCGTTGGTAACAGAGGGTTTTATTCATTTGATTTTTGGGGGCATTGTCGTGACGTTGAATGTGGAGACGGAGGTTATGAGTCTTATTACTGAGACGCAGGGCTGGACTTTGTATCCGGAGTACATGAAGTGGTACCTGTCAACTGGGAAGTCCCTCACTCTAGTGGTTCAAGTTGAGGATTGTGTGTTTCAAGTTTGGGAGATGGTATGTGGGGATTATTATCAATGGAGGAAATGGGAACGTCAGATTATGTTGGGGAGTGAAATTCAATATTTGCGTAGTATTCAGCCGGTCGGTTGGTTGCAGCAGATGGAAGTGTTGGTGTTTAAAGGAAGGTCCGATGTTTTCTATGTGGTTATTGCTACAGGGGAAATAGGATGGATCACATCAAGTGAGGAGATTCATGGTCCAGTTTTGCCTCACAAAAACACCCTTGTGAACCCATTTACTGTCTAAGTATCATGCTCGTTTCTTGT